TTTGACCGACGCCTCCAAGAAACCACCAGCTGATGAAGACACGTCACCACAGACGTCAGTGAGAAAGACTGAAGTTGAAATATGTCGAAGGTAAAAACAGCTCCAACCTAAAAAATACTCACTGTCTGATTTTAAAAAAAATTTTTTACACCTGTCATAACTGAGTTAGGTCAGAAAAATTCTGGGACTTTCCAGCTGAACTGGGTTGAACTGCAGGCAGTGCATACAGGAGGATGGAAAACCTCATCTAGTAAAAAAATATCAACAGTATGCTGAGTCAGCATTTTTCCGAGTATTTCAAGTAACACTTGTGGGCACTTGGGGGAGAAAAAAAAAACTTTCCAATTCCAGGTTTCCAATTTTTGTAGACTAAAAAAAATCATAATAATCTAAGAAATGTTGCTTTTTCTATGATTTATAGCATTGTAAGTCTGCTCAGCTGCACAAAAACAACTTCCAGTTCTCTCCACTTCTACCCACAGATGTGCCGTTTCTGTAGAGTTGCAGGATTTTTTAAAAAATGAGCCCACAGTGAGTAAAAAAAAAAAAAAAAGAGCCTACCGACAAGAGACACGCGAGTTAGCATGTAAATGACAGTTTGAGTCGTGTCGCTGCAGACAGCACGCTCGTGAAACAAATTGGGCGTCGTAATTAAAAGAGAGAAGGGGCGGGGGGGAGAAGAAAAAAATTAGCTGTTTTCCCTTCTCCCTTTGGTGACAGCACACGACTAATGAAAGACGGAGAACAGAGAGGGGCAAGAAAAATACGAAATAAAAGTGTTGAACGACGGATGAAATGGGTGTGTGCGAGCGAGAAGGACCGAGGACAGAAGGAAAAAGAGAATGTAGGAAAGAGCTAATGAAGCAAAAGTCCGAGATGGTGCAGGCCGACCTGGATGTGTGTGTCGGGAACCGGTGTGTGTTTTGTGCGTAGGAAGCCCCTCAGACGCAGGATGGAGGCATTTGTCTCTGAGTGGAATTACAAGTGGCGGGCCGGACAAACCCTCCAGTGGTCTAGAAAGAAAGAGAAAAGATTCCTCCGTCTTTCCTGCTCCTTTTCTTTTCCTGCCTCGATCGGAGCAAACTGCATCCAAGACCTGGGAGCGTGACGCCGCCTCCCAACTTGAAAACAACATCCCAGAGTTTACAGTAAATCCCTGTTTTTCTGTATAAGTGAGTCCTTCAGAAAGGAAGGGAGTGGGGAGGGACATCTGTGCCAGGCTTCCAGTCCTCGAATCTAACTCACACTTGGACGCCTCGGCACAAGCGGCCCTGCTCATCATTAGGAAGCGAAAGGGGTTCAAAAGTCTTATCCCGCCAACAGTCAGCGCCGGAGACTGGGTAATTACAGAGGGCCAAATAAAGCCGCTATGAGTCTTCGGATGTTCCCGAGCAGTTGTGATTCCGCATGTAAATATTTGGGGGGGCGGAAGAACAGAAGCCCCCTCTGTACAAACAAAATGTCAAGCAAACAGGCATCGCCGGATCGCTTCGCCTGGGAAGAGGGAAGTAGGAGACGGGAAAACCGGAGAGGGGAACAGCGTCATCTTTGTTCGGCCCCGTGCAAGCGAGATAATAATCGGATTCAAGACTGGCGAGTACCATGAGGGGCTGCTGTCTCAGGCCTCGGCAGAGCGTTCCATCACCCCCCACGCGTCACATTTGTAAAAAGGCTTCCCCTTTGCGGCCCGCTGAGGAAGCAAATAACAGCCCACACCTCAATGTCACCCTCACCCAACTGCAATTATTATTCTTTCGCACGGGACGCCGTACGGATCTCCATCACAGGCGATCATCATCTCAGCCTGGCACGGGTTGAGCCTGGCAGATATCAAGTTATGATAGCGATGTTGACTAATTTAGAGCAAGATTGAATTCCTTCACCCTCCCCTCCCTCATCTCTCATGCTGTCAAATAAAAGGGCTCGCGGTCTAGACTGATGCTATCAAAAAAAAAAAAAGAAAAAGAAGCTTAATTAGCTTGTAATGAATTCTCATTTCCGCCAGTCTTCTCCAAAGCCTCGGCCAGCTCGGCGCGCGCCAGCTGACGAACGCCCAGTAATTTGATACTGGCATTCAAGCGGGTTCCCTTCCCCGGCTGCCCTCTTCCTCCCCTGGCCGTTCCACAGGAGAGCTCGTCTTTAAATGTCACCCAAACACACACACAGGCGGATGCAGCATTTCGAAAGGACGATTAAAATGTTTGTTTCAGCGAGGCGGAGGATGATGAAATTACTGGTGTGAGCTTCATCGTCCACGTCGTCTCAGCGGAGAGTCGCCGCCATTTTTAATGTGACATTTTGGCGGCGTGGGATGAAAAAAAAAAACGGCGGCAGGTAACAAATTCGACATACAGCTAAACCTCTGATTGAGCTCAAGGTTCTCTCACCAACTTTCAAACGGAGCCTCCAGCGTTTCCATCACCTCCTGCATCCCTCGAGCGACGCAGATCTCTTGATTAATCGGACAGTTTGAGCTATTTTCGGCGCTCGAAAAAAATCGACTTTGCGTCGCAGACTGATGGGATAACAAACCGAGCGACGACCGTGAGAAATTCTTCGGCTTTCTCACATTTTATCGAAAACAAAACTGTTGAAATAAGAGTCAGCTTAATCAATAACACATGACAGCAGGCATTAGCTGCTACCCCCTAAGCCCCCGTTCCCTGCTGAAAGCGATACGATCGATATGCTATGGATGACGAGTTGATCGGACTTTAAATCAAATCCAGAAGATTTCAGGGTACAAGCACCGGCGACGCCTCCTTATTGAAAGACGTGCTCATAAAAGATTTTTAAGAAGCTTCTTTTTAAACTTTACAAATATAAATTCGCACACAAGCTGGCCAGAAGGGAAAAGAAGCAGGAAGTCTGGGGGGAAAAAAACTAAATTTGGAGTTTTTGTTTCGAAAATTGCTTAAAAGATTTCAACAGAGTCTCATTCGCTGACAGAAAAGTGTCTGAGATGCACTCAAAGATGCGTTTGATACGTTTTGCATCTACAGAAAGTCGTAAATCACGCCTGTATGTGTGCGTTGAACCAGCAGCGGCGACATCAAATGATCAAAGTTCATCTGCAGGTGATTAAATAGCTCAGAGCAACACATTATGTTCTGAACTTTCCGCTAAAAATCGAAAAAAAGGCACAAGAACTCACACAAACTCCACATGCATGATCGCATCCACCAGTGGACACGCTAAGGTCAACCCTGCTGTCAGTCTCTTTTTTTTTTAATGATAATGAACAGGATTCTGCTGGAAGAGCGTGCTGCCAAACAGCCGGTCAGAACGGAGTGGAAAACTCTGCTTGATTTTGAGGAATCAAGAGTTGCTTGCAGAGCGAGCACCTCCATGCTTGGCACACGTGTGCTGACCCACACGTATGCACGAGGGCGGACGAGCCAACTGGCAGTAAAGCTGCAGACATCCGTCTCGCAGCAGGAGAACGCAGACTGAACCAAAAAAAAATGAAAAAGAAGTGAACATCTCCAGCCTTGACTTGCTTCAACCACTGTTAACTGATACATGATGCCTGGGAGTGAGTGGTTATTTTTTTTTCCTGAAACTACAATGAGAAGAGGGAGATTAAACGAGACGAAAGAGTGGACAGACAGCGCACAAATATCTATTCAGCATGCACCCACTAACACCCACACACAATGAACTTCCCAAGAGGCATCGCTCGGATTCTTGGGGCGGAATTTGCATCACAAATATCTCGGATGGGAGTGGATGCACGGAGAATAAATAAACCAGCGAGGGTGCCACTTTTCCTTTACCCATTCATCCCCCACCACCACCCCGCCTGTTGCCCATCCATCCGTGCATCCATCCACTCCTGTTTAATAGGCAGCATTCAGCGCCTTCCATCCAAAATCCACACCAGCAGCAGCAGCAGCAGCGGCGGCGGCTGGAAAGGGAGGGGAGTGTGTCTGTGTTTTCCAGTTCTGCCCCAAAAGAAGCCACCAGATACCGAGCCAACACTCTGGGAAAAACATCCAATTTGTGAGCTCGGGGCCGAATTCACCTGCGAGCATCAAACTTCCTCATGTTGTGGAAGCTTAACTGTATTACGGAGGCATGAAACAAACATCTCATAGTTTGGTATCACCCCAGAGCAGATATCAAAGTGTTTATTGATGATCTGTGCAGGAAAAAAACTTCACAGCTTCAACACTTTATTGCAATCAATGCAAACTAAATATCCAGCCTCAAATGTAACATGTCAAGGAATCTGCAAATATCCTAGAGGGATGCCAACAAGTAACTTCACTGCCGAGTGTCAGGGATGCGTTACAAGCCTTTTAAAGGAGTATTGCAGCAACATTAAAGTGATTTTTCGTCGAGGGAGTGACACCACGGGGGTTCTACTGATGAAAGCGAAATGTTTTCCCACTATAGCCCCTCAGTATATCTGCTACATCTAAATTATTCAAAGAGAGTAAGGAATTCTCTCTTTTTTAAAAAACTGTACCACTGCTGTTCAATTCCTATAAATTAAACAGCCGCGATCTTCGGTCAATCAGCGACCGCTTAAGGGAGATAAAACCCAAACGACGTCCATTCATATTTAAGGCAGGACGTATAAAAGAGTGGGGCATCATCTGACAAACATAAAATCACGGTGGATTTTTCTTTTATTTAATCAAATCATACGCTCACGTGCGCCGTTTTTGCTTTCAAATGTACAGAATTGGGTAAAATAAATTTGGAGAGCTTTTTACGCAGCGCCCGACTAGCTCTCGCCAGGCAGCTGAATCTCACAGCGCGCTGCAGGTGTGAGTGATCCTCGATGATTCACATCAGCGTGGCTGGATCGTGAACTTGTGTTAAGTTTGCACCGTGAGCGAACGACACATGTGTTCCAACTATGCGCTCAGCATTCAGCGAACAAGTCATGATTCCATGTAGGTGTGAGATAAGAAAGATTTTTTTTTGGGACCCTCACTTCATCTCAAAGTCAGACCTGGCTGGATGAAACAAGGGCGCATCAAAGCACTCACCTGACTGCGCTGCGCTCGATCGGATCATCACCAAAGTGACGAGGACGCAAGCCGGGAACTTCATCTTTGCCACCAAAAAAAAAAAAAAAAAAAAAAAAAAAAAGCCTGCTCGGTGTTGTTAACTCCCGTAACTCACATGTCCAGTTAAGATATCCTCGTTGTTCACACACACAGGAAAATAAACCAAAGGAGAGGGGAAGGGGGTACAAAAAAAAAACAAAAAAAAAAAGACGTCGGGGTCTTCTTGGACACTGGCACAGTTTTCCGCGCGCCGTGGAGAGCTTTTCTATTTTACGCACCGCGCCTTTTTTCTTTTGGTTGTTGTTGTTGTGTTTTGTTTATCGGTTCCCAGTCCAGTGTTTAGGTCGGTTTCCGCCGCGGATACTCTGAGCCATTTACTCCTCACGCTGCCATTGCGCCGGTGGCTGAGGAGGAGGAGGAGGAGGGAGGAGGAGGAGGTGGGGAGAAGGGGGGGGTGGTGAGGAGTGCGCGAGTGTTGGGATGGAGCGGCGCGCTGGATGGAACGCCCCCTTTAGCGTGACGGACACCTCATCCAGCCTATTAAATCCTATCCAAAAGATTGGCAGCGGGGCTTTTTTTTTATTTATTTGGAGGGAAATCCGCCCACCTTTACTCATCACCTCTCCTGATTGGCTATTAGGTTTAATTGCGGATGCCAACACCTGTCTGGAGCTGGTTTTGCTTTGGGGGTCCGGAAACAATGCGTAAAAATTACCATCATATACTGCTCATCATTGTTTCGTCTGTTGCCACCAGAGTGCAGGAAATTCATAATTTAGATCAACCAATCAGGAGAGGGCGCTTGGTTATTGCAGATTGTGTTTGCTGTTACATGTGCAATGTACTCAACCCAAAAAAAAAAGAAGTTTCCTGCAGCGCCAGCAGGCTCTGCAAATATCCACCACTAGAAGGCACAGCCTATAAACTTTGATGATGGAGCTGCAGTGAAGATAAAGGCCCCAGCAGTATACCATTTTCAGGGCCGCTCATTTTTACAAGGCGGCCCTACCTTCTGCTGGAGCTCCGTTTTTGTGGGACAGGTATGAAAGTATGAAACGAGCCGGCAAATCAACAAGGACAAAAAGATATTGATTTGCGATCCATGTAAGGGGAAAACTTGCACATAATTGGCTCTATTACTGGAATTCCATCAGCTTTTTTTTTGTGCAGTGAGGTTGGAGGAGGTGGAGTTAGAGGGGGGGAGTAATCCTTGAGGTGTCCCAGCAGGACCAGAGAGGAGGTTCATTCAGTGTCCTCTGCTGCTCTCTAGGGGAGTTTGAGGAGAATTGAAACTTGATGTTTTGGAGCAAGTGAATGTGGGATTCTGTTGTTGGTAAGTGTGGGATCTCAAAGCAAGAACTGCAAAAAAATCGGCTTAAAAATTAATGATCCTTAAAAATGTAAGTTAGGGACTGTATGAAAATTACTTGATGTTTTTCTCCGGCTTGTTCCAGACTTATTTTAGATTTTTTTTTCTTATCATCAGAGAGTTGCATATTGTTGTTAAAATGTCTGCAACATAGGCTAAACTGGTGAAAGATTTAATGAAGTTTCTCCTACATATTTCTGCTTTTATTTATTAAAGGTGGACTCATTTTTCAAAATTGTATTAATTCCAAAAAAATTAATAAATTAAGGAGAATTTGTTCTGACAGAAAAAATAATGTCTCAGGGTTTTCTGTGCTTATTTTCTTTCTTTATTCTTTTTTTTTAATTATTATTTTTTTTTATAAAAATGGAGTAGGCCTCGGCTCTTCTTTTATACAGTACTAATAATTTTTGGACTGTCCCTAAATAGAAGTTAAGGGACTATTGGAATGCAAAAATATAGTTTGCAAATGTAGTTGTAATTTAAATGTGTATTCTTCTACTTATATATAATTGTGGAGGCAACTATTATTACATTTATATTATAATTATTTAATATTTAAATTATTTTGCAGATTCAGAATATAATAAAAAATATGAATCAGCAAATAAATTAGGGTACATTATTTTATTGTAAGTTTCGTAATTGAAAGTAGATCCAATATTATAACATATCTGATCATTCTGTGTAGGGAGTGTTATTACTTCAGGTACTTTCAGCTTCATTAAATGCAGATTTGTGTTTTTACTCTTTGCTATCATTTACTTTCCCCACCAATCTGTTTTTTTGCAAACATGCAAACCAATAAATACTTATTTGGTAATAAAGAGCCATCTAATTTTTTATTTTTTTGTGTCCCCCTCTCCCTTTTCCCTAAAATCCAACTGAAGGGAACTCCAGCTCACTTGGCTGTCACTCTTATAAAGGGAGATACATGAAAACGCTTATTTGAGCCGTGGGATTACACTCTGTCTCACAGACAGACACACTGGGTGGCAGCACAATGCAGAGCAGCACCCAGAATACTAATGAGCATCACTCTGTACCCAGAAAGGAAAAAAAAATAACTAGACAAAACATTCAATTTTAGACATTTACTGAGCTGCGTGAGATTTGCATTGAGTTTTGACACCGGATTGGGAATTGTGCTGCGAAAATAGGCCCCTGGTGCGGGTCTGACGGCTGATTGAAGGGAACAATGGCTGGCAGTGGGTATTAAAGTAATCCATTACAAATAATAAATAAGTAATGAAGAGAAAAAAAACGTGACTCATGAGCATTTAATTAAAAATTCATAATGAGCCTAATGACGTTATCTTACAGCTGCAGTGATACAAATTACAGATCAGGAATCGTGTTTAAAGGGCCGTTCCGTGCACGATGGGATGAAAATAATACTAATAAACACACTAAATAAAACTCGCCTGCAGGGACTCTGTGTTTTGGATTTACAGCCCAGAGGCTTGTGATGTGCAATATTTTCTCTGGGCTGTAATATTCCTGCGACGCTCCACAAGGGGGGCTGGATTTACAATCAAAAGTTTACAGCTGGCACTCCTGCCAGTTTATTTTATCTCATATAGCTGACTGTTCCCATATGCTCCGTTATTTTGTGCAGCACTGACTGGCTTCTCGCCCCCCCCGGGAGTGATGATTCTCTGGGTCAGTAATGAGTGGCACTAATTTTGGATTTTGTTTTGTCCCCAGCGAGCAGCTCCAAGCAGCAGGACAAGGGGCTCGGATGACAAGCAGCGCTGCTATGATTAGGTCAAAGGGGGGTGGGTTGTGTGGTGAGGGGGGTAAAGGAGGCAGCCGCTGTGGAAGGTCAAGGGGCTTTTTTTTTACCCTCATTGAGCGCACACGGTGATTTGTTTCCAGCGTGGAGACGTCGTCCCAGGAGGAGGAGGAGGAATAACAGCACCTTTGGGTGGAAAACTGGAATGTGCCATGTGCTGTTGATCTCCAGGGAGTGAGAGCAGCGGTGGTTCGTCATGGCTCCGGAGAGCGCGGCGCTCCTCAAGGCTGGGCTTGTGTTGTTGGTGGCAGGTAAGTGTGTGAATGTGTGTGTGTGGAGATGTGAAGTTCTTCTTAGTGGATTTTTTAGATGCTATATACAGTCGTCCTTAAATGTAGCCTTCTATTAAAGAAAAGGCAAAATTCACAATAGTCACTCAAATAAGTAGAAACTAAAAAAAAGTAATAATAAATAAAAATTTGCTGAATTATAATGTAGTGAAATAGGCATTGCTTTTGAGTTGTGGTTGAAAAGAATAATTTAAAAAAAGAAATAAATAAAATAAATGTCCTGGACAGTGCAGGTCCCATCGTACTTTTTTTTTTTTATATATATATATTTCTGTTGAACCACAATTCAAAAGCAATGTCATGATTTTCATTAAATTTTTATTTATTATTATTATTTTTTGTCGATTTCAGCTTATTTCAGTGACAACTGTTTTTTTCTTCTTTAATTTTTCTGCTAGATATGTGTGTATTCTTGCATGCATTCTTTTATTATTATTTGTTTTTATTTTCATTCTTTTTCTTTCTATAGTTATTCCACTTTATTGTTATTCTTTTCCTTGCTAATTCCTCGGGTGACACCAACAGCCAGAACCAAATTCCATATATGTTGTGTACATACTTGGCTGATTCTGATTCTGATCAATGGGAGGGTATGAATACATTTGAGGATGATGGAGGCTTTTTTAAAGTCCTTTCATTGTTGTGCATTGTGACAACAGCTTTAATTTCGGCTGGTAATATGGAAGAAGTTTACTAAAAGCTCTTGTTTTAATTCCGGGTTTAATCCTCTGAACCCGTTCTGCACGTCAGCTCCAGAAAGATGTTTCACCGTGTTGAATGTATCTCTGCACCATTTATGAGCCATGTGACATTTATTTATCTCTCAGTCTCTTGAATTTGTTTCTGTACTTGTCTCCAATCTGCAGATACATTTTTTTTTTTTACAGGATCTATTTAAGGCAACTGCTTTAGTTTTTGAATATATATTTTTAAATGAGACATGTAGAATAAAGTCATTTTGATGAAATGTCACAATTTGAAAATGAGTTTTAGTTTGTTTGTTTGTTTTTTAGACAAATTTGCACGATTCGTGGACGGACCAGCAGAAAGTTGATGATCTGATGATGCATTATGCTTCAATAGTTTCTGGGATTGATAAATGCTGTAATTTTGGCTATTTTTTAAACCTCTTAAAACCCGAGCTCTTGTTTGATATGCATGTTTTATTCCGAAGAAAAAATAAAAATAAAGAAAATAAAAAATATAGGATGAATAAATAAATCAATAAATAAATAAATAAATAATAATAATAATAATAATAATAATAATAAGTTTGTGGAAACTGATGCACAAAATTTGATGTTACCATTAAGCTGCATTAAATGACATGTAGGATGAAGCTTTTTTTTTTGCTTTAATCATCAGGATGTTTTACTTTCTGCTGCATTAGTTATTTATTTGGATATTATAGAGTTAAATTCACAAAAACGCAGCACATCAACTGCACACATCCTCCAAAAAATCATCACACAGCTTAATATTTACAAAATGTGAAACCTGTTGTAACCCGTCTGGTTACAAGGAAGGTCCAAAGTTGAAGTCAAAATGGTCTTATGTCAGCGTGGAGCTAATAAACGACGTGAGGATGAATTCAAAACTCTCCCTTTTCATGAATGTTGAGACAAAAATGGCTCAATGGCTGCTTCCTGTCCACAAAACAGATTTGAAGGTGGGGAAGTCAACAGAACTGCAGTAGAGAGTGCCGTAGCATCTGTCGCCGCTCGCCTCGAATTTTCCTGGAAAACCGAACGCAACGCTGGTGAGCAGCCAGACAACTTTCAATGTCAGACTTTCCCACCAGCAGTTGCCAGCAGACAGACAGACAAGTGACACCTCACTCCAGCTCTGAGTGGGTGACAAACAGGCAACTTCATTTTTTTGCTAAATTATCCCGCATATGTTGAGTTTTCGCCGCGCCGCAACAGGGTCTCGATCTTTTTTTTTTCTCCCTTCTGTAGCATCTCTTTTCAAAACCCCCGTGTCAACACATTCAGTACTTCCTTTGAGTGTTTGGGAGCCCACAGAGAGCCAGAGCAAACAGAACGGGCACACAGCTGGCCCTTATCAGGCCGCCGCAGACCGAGATCCACCATGTTTCTCGATGCTAACAACCTGTTCGTCTCCGCGCGGGCCTTTTTTTTTTCCTCTCCGCCAGCTTAAGCCTCCCTCTCCTGCTCAGTGATGTTACATTCAGTTTGGCATCCTGCGGGACGGCCGCGGTCTGCCTCGGCTGTTTACACACAACTCCGAAGTAAACAAATGGGATTGGGACTCGGGTTTGCAAATTAAATTTTGTTTTTTTTTTTCCGTCTTCGCGAAAGTAACGGCCTAATAGGGAAGAAACGGTCCGCGAGGAATAACCATCGCCGGGACGTGACCTTGTTTATTGCACAAGCATACTCCTAATTACCAAAGAATTAAACGGAGCAGATAACCGCTTGCTCATTACCTGCTCGAAGCTTTTGTTTCCATTTCTTTTTTTTTGCCTTTACTCTGCAGCTCAAGCCCTTCCGTTGGCGTCTGGCTGCAACCGAGGTTTCTACGAGAGGATGATCGGCGATCTGTGCCTGGCTAAGTTCAAACTGGACATGGGAGGACTGGAGCGGGGCTTGTGGTGCAGCTGGCCGGACACGACGGAGTGAGTAGTGGGAA